CAATCGAAGCTCATTAGAAGTATCGTACCATTGTTAAGTAAACGGGGGAAAAATAATTATTATTATTATTAAAGTTAAGGAAGAGCGGATAAATTGAATTTTAAACCACGTATATATACATTTTCAACATAATAATAAGACATCGCATTTTAACTTAAAAAGATTCGAATTTCCATATCTGATACCATAAAATGGATTAAAATGGTAATACATCGATTAATTCCTCATTTTTACGTGTACTCGTATGTTACAGTGCCAAGTAGACGAGCATAAAAATCTCATAATGACAATAAAGAACAACCAAATCGATCAGTCATCGTGAAATCTGCTCTTTTCGATTCTCTCATTTATTCAAAAAAGAAAAAAAAAAAAAAATCGAGATGTAAATTTTGGAATCATTTGTGATTCTGGAAGCGATAAAAAAAAATTGTAAAATCATTTTAAGAAGATATTCAACGGATGGATATAAAAATAATTTGTCGCTACCAGAAATTTTAATCGAATTTATCTTTCTTCGTTGTAAGTTTGACAGTAAATGATCATTTCAATCGACACCCGCGTCCCGATCTTTGACCAGAGACACTTGACACACGTTTTAATGCGTAACATTTAATAAAAAGGTAGCTTAAAAAAAAAACAAAAAAAAAAATTCCATAAATTGAGAAATATTAGCGACTTAGGCTAAGATGAGTAAAAAATATGATTACATTATAACGATAATTAATAGTAAAGAAAAAATGTACTGTATAGCAATAGTGCTATTTAAAAATGAAAGAAAAAATAACAAGCAGAAAATAAATAAGGATGAAAATTATCCGAGTATTGGACTACTATCGTTAGATACAACTACTATGTATATCGTTTGTTAAATATGTACCTATAAATTATTGACGACCGTCGTTCTAAGACTACACAATGTAAGAACGAGAATTCTTGTTGCTTGGTTTTGTAATCATGCTTGATAAAAGCATTCGAAGAATAAAACTTGTTGTCGTAGAAAAAATTCTTTTTCGATTATTTTTTTAAGATCCTATTCATTCCTTGATAGAGAAAAAGATTATATTTATTATGTATTATCTTGATGATAAGTTGGTCCTCTTATGATTTTTATATTTATAAAAAGTCAAGAAAGGAAAATTTATTTTGTATTAATCCTTTGTAAACAAATTTTAAAAAATAAAATATTGTAATGAAATATAGTAAATTAATTAAAAATAAATTGATAGATTGTTTAATTTTCAAAATGAGATTAATAGTTTCATTTTTAATGGAATATTATATCTCAATAAGTCTTTTGTTAGTAATATTACTATAATTGTAATAATTTTAAAATCCATGTAAAAGTTATTTTGGAATGTCTTTAATATTTTAAAATTTTTTCATTGCCTCAATAAGATAAATTATTTCTGTTAAAAAAAAAAATAGAAAAAAGAAATTTCAAATAGATATTTGAAAGTACATACATCATATAATTGAAAAATTCCAATATATTAAAAAATATTTATGGATATATTTAAATAATTTTTTTTTACATTATCTAGTAAAATATTCTTTTTTAAAAATATTTTTCCTGTAAGTTTGAATATTCTCTAAATTTCACATTCACTTATATTTATTTATTATATTTATTTGTTTCTTCTTATTTATGAAGCTTATTTATATAATAATTAATTATAAAGAATAAGGATTATAGTATTTATTTTAAGAAATATCGAATATTGAAAAATAGTAAAATATTTAATGATTGGAAAAGAAATATAATTTCCATATAATTTTCATATATGAATATTTCAAATATTTTTTTTTTCATAGCAGTATATGTACTATCCATAAATGTATTAGAATACATTTCGTTATTTGTAATATTAATTTAAATAAAATTTTCAACATGTATCATTCAAATTTAACTATATAATATATATATATGTTATTATGCAAAAGAATGAAGACAATCAATCTTTTTCACAATTTTCTTTAAGTATGCTCTTTTATACATTTTCATAATTATATTTTGAAATAAAAAAGTAATAATAGATAAAAAAAACAAAAAGTTCGATATCGTTTCATGCTTAAAGTTATGCAATGTAGTATTTTAGTTATTATCATTAAATAACATTAAAAAACAACAAACATATTTATTTTAAGATAAAAGATTTTAAATTTTAATATATTCTATTCTTTTTATTAAAAAAAACATATGAAATGTATTTTTATCATTAATAATTGATAAGAAAAAATTTTTAATTTTGAAAATAAATGCTTGAAAAATATTTTTAAAAAATGTGTAAATCTAAGAAGATCTAATTACATTACAACAATACAATAAACATGACTATAAGTCTTTCAAAAACTATTTGTTTGAGCTTTACGAAATAAAATTCTTGGAAATATTTATTTTCGTATTTTACGCAGTACTGTTCATACAATTAAACTGGAATTTTTTTGCATTTCTT